GGTTGGAGGCCATCACTATGAGGTTGGAGGCCATTGCTATTAGGTTGGAGGTACCAAATTGATGAAATACAAAATGGACTCTTCTGAGCGATTCCAAACCTATTACAGGACCTCAGCGTCCAACCATACAGCCCACCCGGGTCGTGAGGACGGAAGAGGTTCGCGTCTGCGCTCGCGCTGGGTTGGTCTCTTTGGATTGGTTGTTCGGTGTTTACTCCACTGCTAACAAGATCTTCCAATCATAGCAATCCCAAGAACATGCTCAATCCTGCAGAGATTCCTCCGCTTTCTTAAAAGATCGTAAAAGTGTTCTCTTTTGGATTCGATTGGCAGATCGACTAGGACGGAGGACATCCCAGATCTTGTGAGTCAAACCCCTGTTGTTATCTTTTTCACGCTGCTAGGTTGACCATTTTGGTATTTTTGGGTTCTCTATTCTGTTGATTTTCTGGTGATCAACCCAGGTATCTGCCTTTGACCCACATCCAGAGAAAAACCTCTCGACCACCACCTCCGTGCCTCGCAGGGGCACCACCTCCAACGCCTCCAGCTGCCCCGGCCGCAGTGGTACAGCGCTCGCCCTTGGGGCGCCGCGAGCAGCGGGCGCGCTGGGGGCGGGAGGATCGAAGAGGTTCCTGGCGCGAGGAGTTCAACACCTGGAGGTGGGGAAATTGGACTTGAGTTCCACTGACGCGGACTGCAACATCGATGGTTACATCGATGGCATGGCCAGGAAAAAGAAAGGCCCAAACAGGAGGTTTTTCCACTTCCATGATGACTCCGGGGAGTGTAGATGCAAAGTTCCGAAGAGGCAACAAGTCTTGGCCAACTATGTGGCTATACTTGTGCACGTCCTGCAAAAAGGCCACAGTCTTTTAATGTTTCTCATGTTTTTCTTTGTCGTTTGGTAGAACTTCATGCCCTACCTCCCACGTGTTTGCCAGGTCCGACCGCCCCTCTGTGCCCCACCGCTGTTCTCGCCTGTAGTGTGCCAGGTCCGACTCCAGTTGTTCGATCCCGGAGAAATATCGTTGGCCTTGCATCGTTGAAAGTCGACCCCTTTTTCGCGTCTCCGGCGCGTCTCCAGGCGCTCCCTTTTTTTTTTTAGCGCTGAGGAAAGAACCGATGCATATAGGTATGACTCTATGACATATGACACCTGAATGACACCTGATGGTAGTATGCACGGCATGGTGCAAAATAGTGTTTCATAGTTTCTCCAACCCTTTTGAACAGGTTGGTCATCAAGCCACCCCCTATAGTGGTCATGTCAACTGACAGCTGTACGGCACGCTTGTTTTGGGGTGCTTTCGCTAATTCGGTACATTTTGGTCGCCGGCACTATGATTATATGCGCTAGCTGCTAGCTTATATATGTTCTTGGAGTCATTCAGAGACTCTTCCCCAACGTCCATGGCCGCGGTTCGTGGCCGCGGTTCACCGTGGCCATCCGCCAAGACACATTCGGACGCCTCCAGCTCCGACCCCAAATCTCGCCGTAGGAGGCCGTTGCGGCAGACCTCCATGGAGTGCAAGACGCGGTGCAACGACTCCACTTCCCGTGGCAACCTCAACTCGGACAGTCGGACACCGTCGGACGTGTCGATCTGTGTGTCGATCTGTGTGGTTTTTTCGGAAAAGGCGGGGGGCGGAGGCAGTGATCTTCTATACCCCAAATATATGTAGGTTAGTCACCAAAACTCCGACATGACTTGGACAGGAACTGGGTCGACGTGACCTAGACACGAACAGACAACAACAGGAAAGACGCAGATTCAAATCTATACGCATTAATATAGTCATATACTGTTAGATTCCATACAAAAAAAGAAAACACATTGATTAAAAAAAACAAATCCCTCTTCCCTCTTGCCCTGGACCCCGGACCCCTTCCCCGCTCCTCTCACGCCGGATCCCGAGGTGCATTTTGGGCGCCACCGTCCGGAAGTGCTCCAGCACCGCGTCGTGCCGCGCCTGCGCCCGCTGCAGCCCCGCCGCGTCGCAGGAGGGCCGCGCGGGGTGGAACGCCGTGGTGGCGAACCCCGCGGGGTTCGCCGTGGACCTGAGAAGCCGTAGATGGGAGGAGTGGCAGGTAAGAGATAAGAGACAGGAGATAGTGAGACGTGACATGAGATGTGCTACGTGGTGTCGTCTTTGCGTTCTTGAAAGATAGCTATTTTTAATTTTTCTAATGTAGTAATTCCATGTAATTCATATGGTTCATGGTCCGTTTCTTGACAAATGTGTGGTTTGCTGCATTCCAGGGTTGACATGACTTCGAACATGAAAGACCCATCCGTCCGCTCCCAAGGTCTATATCCAACGTCAACGACGACGTGCGAAAAGGCCTCCCGGAACCAGCGATCCATCGACCACCCAATGTAGACGCTTAATTCATAAATGCATCAATCCCCCTGAAGAGGCTTTCCAATCCATGTCTAATTGGTAGGTTATTAAGGTTGTTAATCCAGAGTCCACCACGACCGTGTTGGTCCAAAATCCCCCCTCCATCCACTCCATCCACTCCATCCACTCCATCACCAGGCAGCTCCAGCTCTTCTTTGAAGCTTTCCACCTCTCGCGCCAGCGCCTCAAACTCCTCCACATGCTCTGGGTCGCGCATGTCCCACCGAGCGAACGCTGCGCCCCAGCGCTTCAAGGCCTGGGGATGAGGAAGGCTGCGAAGGAAGGCGAAGGACGAGCTGTACAGCTCTGAGCTGTTTCAGACCACAAACAGCTTCAAAAGTCACAAAAATCAAGGATCCATCTCATCTGAGCTACCACTGAGCTTCTGTTTTTTCTGGCATGGAATGACATGGATGACTTCCGAGCTGGGCGACGACCTTCCTGAACCCCCCGGCACCTCCGCCCGCCGCGCCGTGCGCGGCGCGCGGCCGAACTCCGCGAGGCGCTGCTGCGCGCGCGCGGCGGCCGCCGTGGGGGGCAGGGCCGAAAGGTTGGCGAGCGCCTGCAGCTCAGGTCTATGGAATATGTGAAGAGCAAGAGTTCTCACCAGACACGTTTTATATTCTGCATGATGACCTCAAGTAATTATGTGAATAGAATTACACCATTGGATTGTCAAGGTTTAATGTTGCCCACATGGACCTCGCAAATATTTTGGCATATAGATGGAGTGTCTATGAGATGGATCAACATGCACAGCTCACATGGGCGCTCACGCATCGGATGTTGCTCGTGGAAACCCGCCGTTTGCAGTGCAACTGGTCCAACCCGGAAAAAAGAAACAAACCTGGTTCTTCAAAGTGACCGAACTTGATCACCTGGTTGGTTCGGTCACTTAAGCCTCCGAAGGGTCACCAATAGGAACCTTCCAAAGGTCATGAACTGAAGAAGCTGGAAACAGATTCGCAAGGGGATTGACTCATAGGGAAAATACATGATCAACTGGAAGCAAAACAACCACCACCTTCTTGACCCCGAGCTTTGGGAGGACCCAGAGAATGATTGATTGGCCAAACCCTTGCAAAACACATGTTGGTTAAAAGGTAAAATCCCTTTCGAAGTGTATTGGAAACCGTGCCACTATCTATGTGGTGACCACTATATGACTACAAATATGATTTGCTACTTTGGACCATTTTCGCACTGAGAGTGTGGCGGAATGGATTAAACACCGAGGTCTCTACCCCAACCAGCTTACGGCAAACCCTCCAACCTCCACAGCTGTAAAGTGGTGGTTCGAACCTCCAAGAACACCCGTCCTTAACTCTCTTATACGAACCCCCGTCCTTCGTGTGGACACACTGTTTGGAGCAACATGTCCAATACCGTTCGCGCGTCACCGTTCGCAGTGCCCTGTCTGGAGACCTGTAAGACTGTGGAGAGATCCAGCCAGGTGACCCCGAACGGTGACGCGCTTGGTACGTGTTTTCCTGTGCTCAAACCACTGAACCGAAACAGCCCAAACCACCCACACAGCACCCACAGCACCCCGACCCCCTGGGCCTGCATGGCATCGAAGTGCCGCTCGAGCTCGGAGGCCAAGCTGCCCAGTGCATGGACGAAGCTTGGAACGTCCATACATCCGGAGAGCTCGTAGGGCTCTCCTGGCTGGACCATGTCAGCCATGTCAGTCATGGCAAAACAGAACCAGAACCAGCGTCATACGACCCATACAAACAGGGCCCAACTTCCCTTACAACGCGTCTGTTCGATCGGTCTTGCTCCGTGTTCGCCACTTTCGCCATGGTTCTCTTGGAAATCAACTGCGGGAACCGCATATTGAAACACCTCCATGCCTCATGCATAGCCTTGAAAGAAGGAGCCTCCTAGGTCCTCCAATAGGCCCCTCACGGGTGTTCATCATTAAGCTCACAGAGCTTCATCTTAGTCAAACCAACACACAACACAGGTCACCAACTCCCAAGAATAGCATCTCAACACACAACAACAAGTACACTCATGACTCATACCATCTCATACCACTATCCTCTCGCCATTCTTGTCCGTTGACCGCCCAAAAAGCAGCCAATTCCCACCTTCAGAGTGCCTGGAAACCTCTTCCCACTCACCTAATCACCCAAACCCAAAACCAACCCGCCCAGCCTGGCGCTGGGCACCTGCGCGCCCGCGCGTGGCCATAGGCCGGCGCCTCGCAGGTCGCCGCCACCTGGAAGTCCTCCAAGGCCAAGGAGCCCTGAGCGAGCGAGGAAGACGGCAGAATGGTGACGCCACAGCAGCAGCAACAAATTGAGCAACAAGCAGAACAAAGAAATATAACTTAATACAAAGCAAAACAACAAACAAAACAAAACAAGACAAGCCAAGCCAAGACGAGACGAGACAAGACAAGCCAAGCCAAGACAAGACAAACAAGCAACGACAACAACAATACAACAAGATCCAAAAGAATTACCACCCAGTGTTGAAGGACTTCCGAGTGTTGAAAGCATATTCTCTTGCTGAAGAGCACTGCAAAGAAAAACGCCGTCGAAACATGTCACATCTCACCAAGAGCTTTCGAGATGTTTCTTCATCCCTCATTTTGCAGGGAAGCAGGACCTACCAACAGAGGCCGTGAACTTCCACTGCCTGCACGCATTCCACGTCTCAAATTCAGAGAAAAAACATGGAGGTCTTTTTCTTAGTGTCTGACACAGTGTCTGCACCAGCCCCATTCCAAATCCTCAGGTCTCTCCTGGCCTCTGTGACACTGTAGCCCAACTTGGGCGCCGCTTCGCACGTCCTCACCCGGCGAACCCTTTTCGGTTCGATCCGCGAGGCCCGGCGGTGCGTCTCGCACGTCGCGGTGGCCCGGGGATCTTCGGTGAGTGGAGGGAGTCGGAGTCTGCGGGGGCTGCGGCTTTTTCAGGCGCCTCTAGTAAAAGGTGGTCTCGCCGAAAGGCTGGGAGTCTCTCATCCCGCAAGCATCCCATGGAACCTGAGGTGGTCTTGGGGACCGGTGGTGGAAGACCCTTTTCCGAAGACCAAGCCAGTGGGCCATTGGGGTTCCATGTGGTCCTCTGCATCCCAGACACGACTAATGGGACTGCCATAGGACTGCCGATCAGGCCAGGGGTGGTTGAAAGGAGGTCAATGGGGCGGCAGTCCGACATGGCAGTCGCAGACAGGTCGCGTCTGGGCTTTGTATGGCCCTCAATGAGTGTGGTCCCTGGAGAGGTGGTTTTTCATGGGTCTTTCTGTCCAGACACTCCACAGCCAGGGCGATCCTTAATGCATCCCATCCCATCCCGCCACTAACTACGGCTGAGCATCTCCACACAACCTTTCAGGTCATACTCGCGATCATCGCCACTGCACACAGCAGTGGTCGCAATGCCCGCAAAGCCAAAGGAACAAGCGGCCGACACGCTGAAATTGGCGCGGAAGAGGGAGACTTCTGTGAGGATGTAGCCTGAGTGACCAAGTTCTGTGAACTGACGTAGACTGTCTTCCTCAAGACACTCCCCTAAACTGACACTGTACAGTTTCTGACACTGTTCCACTCTTCTTCCATCTTCTTCCTTTTTCCAAATGGGATCCCCCAACGAGTTTTGGCACATCCCGGACCCCACCTTTCTCGCACCACTGCATCCGAGCGGCCCGACGCATTCCGCGCAGACCGGCAACGTTCGGACGTCGTAGCGCGCTCCGCGCCGCGCTCGGCGCCGGGCTCCTCGGGATCAGCCACCAAATCGCCCTCCGCCTCAGCATGGAGTGGACCACGCCGGAGCGTCGACCGGCGCGATCGGTGGGCGGATCGGGCGACCGGCATGTGAAGTGACAGAGCGTCCCAAGTGGAGGTCCCAAAGTCGTGTAGTGGAGGGCTGGGACAGCCATTGGATAATTGGATGGTGCTGGTCAAAATGCATTTAACAGAGATGACTCATGAAGTCTCATGAAGCAACTGCTCAACATGCGGTGCTGGTGCCTCCTTTAGTTCAAGAGTTGACCCCAACCACCTCAGCCGAACTCATGCGCCGGTGCCGGATTCCTTCGGTTTCTGAGAAACCCGGCGGACTCGACTTGGGCTTTCTCCGCCTCGGTGACTTCGGATTCCACCGGCGTGGCCTGCTCAGCTTGCGCTTCATCTCGCTCATCTGCCTGCGATTCGCACGAGTGTTCGGCGAGGGCCACAGCAGGCCTTCAGCCAAACACAATGGTGTACAGGGCACAGCCACAGCTCAAGAGCCCCTGAAGCATCAACGTCCAAGCAACAACGTCGGTGTGGGGGGTCTTTTCCAAGTCGGAATGCATCAATCCCAAAGCCGGACGTCGGAGAGGCCTAATTAAGTGGTAAATCCCGGCAGGGAGCTTCCCTCCGGACGACGTGGTCGAATTCTTTCTGGGGAACTGTTGAATCTCAGAGTTCGGCTGGTTCACCTCTGACATCCAATCCCTCAAGCTCCGGATGTGCCCGATTCTCCATTCGGAGCGTGTCCGAACCGCGCAATGGCTTGGACCGTCCTTCTTCAACCAAACAACGATACCACCGAGCAAACAGGAACGCCCCCCACCTGGTCGACCTCATCCTCATCCTGAACCGCAGCGGTCGATCAAACACGGTGGCGAACGTCGCTGTGTTGGATCGAAAGGGATGGCTCAAAGACCCGTCGACCGTTCGTTCAAACGAGGCAAACGAGGTAAACTTCAAACGAGGCATATATAATTAAGTACCGTTTGAAGATCTAGGTAGGTAACCACCAAAAGCAGCTTTCGAAATACTTCATTGAGGCAAGATATCGTCTTCAAGACACTGCTTCTTTGGGGGCGTATATATAAAACCAAAGAACATCACAGCACAATCTCAAGGCTTCCCAAAGAAGGAACCATTTCAAGTCTCGCCTCCTCCTCCTCCTCGTCCTCATCGGGCGACCGGTCGCCGCCTTCCTCCTCCGTCTCCTCGGCTCCGGCACCATGGGGGACCTGCAAAGCACCAGCCCCATGGGGTTCCGGCCGGTTCGTGGATCGTTTGGGGCACCTGATGGGCCGTTTTCTCTCAATCCTGGGGGTGAAAAAGACTCATGTGATCGTTTGTTTGGGGCACCTGGTGGTGGTTTTTCGATCATTCGCAGGAATCAACCGCCTGAATTCCGTTTTCACCGCACACCAGACAGGTCTACCCGACCTTCGGCTCAGACTCCTAGACACGGAAAGTCTCTCTTCCTCGACAAGGGATTGAAGTCCACACCGCCACGTCCAGGTCTAGACCTGGACGAACGGATTCCAGGTTGAAACCATGGTTTCCCTCGGGAAGTGTTCCCGGTTTTCGCCCAGTGAAGTCAAAGCACGGTGTGAAGTGAATCCCAGTTCACCCAATGAAGTCACCTGGTTCGCGCGAATCATCATGAAGCCTGCATGGAAAACTTCAAGTTACCGGAAAAACAGGTCAGAAACCTGACTTACTGATTCAAGGCTGCCTGAAGCCACGACACGCCAGCTGTGTCATGTGTTTCTATGTGTTTCGAAACATGTTCCACCCCACCTTTTTCAGCCTTCACCTTTTTCGAACAGGCGAGTCCTAAACTGCTCGAGTGTCGGTCAGTGTCATCGTCAGCGTATCGACTGAGCGAACAACACCGCTCTCGAGGCGACCGTCTCAGTTCTGTTACACGAATCTCTTCGAGAGAGCAAGACTGAACATCATTCAGACCAACACGTCACCAGAACCTGCTTCTTGGTCATGTCGTTTCTCCAAAGATGATCTTTGGGGGGGGAGCCTTGCGTGAGTGTTGGGTCCATTATATATGTCGTCCAGTT